TAATTATTGAATGTTGTTAATACCGTGTGTACACTATTGTATGTACAATGATGTATAGGGAATACAATAAGCAATGCCAAATGTGCATAATATGTATCACTTGTGTGTCACACGTATGCCACATTGAACTTTGTTTTATATTAGTAATAAAATCACTCAACTTATGTTTTTGTATCAATAAAATCACTCAACTAAATTTATTATTCATTTATAAATATATAAAATTATTTTTATTGATCCACATGCAATTAGAATTAAATTCATTCATAATTCTACCCATTAACCCAATTAAAAACAATACACTTCTTCAGCAATAACTAAAACCAAATTCTAATTTGTCCCGTTTTTCCTCTTCCATTTTATCTACATGATTTTTGTTCCACTTCAACACAAATTTCCCCTCTTTTGTTACAAATAAATTCACATTCATATTTTATCATCTTCTGATTTTACAAAAGATTGTAAATTTTTCAGTAGTAAAACCCAAAATCTTGAAATATAAATTGATGGTTCTTGATTCATTTGTATAGATAACTGCCAATTTGTTCATGCTGGTAACGGGTTATGCAACATGTTCTCGTTATTGTCTGTGTCACTTCGAAATGGATCATCTGTATTGCCAGCTTAATTATGCAAAAATTTCTGGAATTGGGACTTCTTTAGTAATAACTAAAACTAGACTCAAAATGTACAAGGAGATTGCAGGAAGATGAAGAAGTGTTGGGTTTTTTTAATTGGGTCAATGGATAGAATTGTGAATGAATTTGAGTCTAATTGCATGTAAATCAATAAAATAATTTTATATATTTAAGGGAAAAGACATAAATTCCTCCCTGAACTTATCACGAAAAGTCAGTTACACGTACGCTTATACTATTGTGACGACCTATTACACACATGAATTACTTAAAAGTAAATTTATTTCAACCCTGACGCACATACAACCAGTCACATGATGAGAAAGTGTTTCACACTCGTGCCACATCATCACCATGTCACTGCCACATCAATAATTACGTCATATTTAAAAATAAATAAATCCATGTCACCCAATTTCTTCTTCTTCCCTATACATCATCAAACCCACCATTAAATCAGTACCATTATTGCTATTATCATCTAATTCACTTCTCCACCATCATTGATTTCACCACCCATAATCAAATTCACCACCGGAATCTTCCCACAACCATTGTCATCATAAAAATCGATAACAAACATCATAAATTTAACTAAATTCACCATCGGAATCATATCACTATCATTGAAATTCATCACAATCATAACCATAAATTCACCATCCACATCAAAATCACGAGTTTCATTGTCATTATCAAAATTAAAAGTCATACCACCACTAATTTTTCACCCATCACCAAACCCACCACAAAAGTTTATTACAATATACAAATTTCACTCAAGCTCAAAGAGGAGAATTGTGAAAACTTGCAATATTTATTTGCAAAGATTTTGAACAACTTCACGATCTTTGCGATGAATTTCTATCCCGCAATGTTATTTCTATTTTCTCTCGAAAATTTATCATGAAAAAATATTATTTTTCACATTAGCCATAGCAAAAAGAGTGTTTGTGATAAGAAAAAAATGGAGGAAGAAGAAAGGTAGGGTAACGTGAAGGAGAAGGGTGGGGGTGGGAAAAATTTGCCTTATCTTTTTACTCAAACGCGCCTTTTTTATTTTTTATTTAATCCTATTTTCATGTCAGCTTTGAGGGTGGTATTAAATTCACTTTTGAGTAGTATAAGTGTGTAATAGGTCATCTCAATAGTTTAAGCGTGTAACTGACTTTTCGATACAACTTCAGGGGAGAATTTATGTATTTTCTCTATATTTAATTAATCATAAATTTAGTTGAGTGATTTTATTGATGGGAAAAGGCATAAATTGACCCCTAAACTTGTACCCAAAAGTCACTTACACACTTTAACTAATGGTGTGACCTATTACACTCCTTAAGTACACAAAAGTGTATTTATTTACCCCTTCAGTCACCCAACCCAGGGCGTGTTTTGCTCCACATAAATGAGCGCGTCAACACGCTAATAAAATAATTTTTATTTTTTTAATAAAAAAATTTATTTATTTTTTTAATTAAAAAAATCTAACCCAACGGTTATATTTCCATTCCCTTCACATAACCCACCCACCCGACCCTAATGAACAAAACCCCTAAATTTTCACCCAAAAATCTGAAGCCCAAATTGAATTCAAACATAGTTCAAAATTTCTTCTTTTGAATCAAAGGTAACCCTTTTTCACTATTATTCATTCATCTCTTTTCCATTTTGATTCATTCCTATCTTTTTCATTTTGATTTGTTTCTATCTATTTCGTAATTTTTTTGAATTTTTTGTTGTTTGATTCGCTGTAATTCTTATTAAGGTGCTACAATGGCTCGAATAAGCTTGACTAGGCTCTGTTTGCAAGAGGAAGATCATGAATTGGAAGAGGTGTGATGCAAACATGGATTTGTTTTGCCTTTGCTAACCTCTTGGACCCCAATAAATCCTAGTAGAAGATATTGGGGTTGTCCTTGCTATGGGGTAAGTTAATCTTTTTTAAGAGTTGAATGATTCGTTTTGTTGTTTCAAGAGCCATAGAATGATTTCGTTTTGTTTTTTAAGAATCCTAGATCATGCGATTTTTGGCTTTGGAAGGATGATTATATTGATCCAAGATCCAAATTTGTAGATTTCCCAAGTTTGTTGGCAAGAATTGTTGAACTTTGAACATTAGTAGTTTGAAATCTTCTCGAAAAGTTTGAAACTTCAGATAAGGAAATCAACAAGCCTACTAAGTCGACCAAATATATGGAAAGCAAAATAGATATGAACAAGATATAGTAAAAAATGGACAATTTTGATGATGATTTGAAGAAGATGAAAGCAGTTGAAAAGAAATGGAAAAACAAATTGGCCAAGTCCAAGAAAAGGGAGAAACAACTTTGGATTACTCTGTTGTGTGTTTGTATTTTAGGTGTAAGTTTCATATTTCAAAGATTATTGTTTCTGAAAGGAGAAGGAGATTCAAGGAAATTGCCATGATCTCTTCTTGTAACAAAAAATTGCAATATTGTGTTGAACTTGTAAGACTTTTGTGTAATGAAAAGATGTTGGTTGAATTTGTTTGTGTAATGAAGTTGCATTTGTGTAATGAAGAATTTGCAAGGCTTCCCTTATCTTAATTTGTCTCATTTATGTTGGCGAGTATTTGATTTTGTATTTGGGCATAAACTATACATTTAGTGTCTACAATTATCTGCTCAACTGTCTAAACTATACGTTTGTGTAGCCACTGCTAATGTAGTCACTAATTGCCCTCCATAAACACATAAACCATCAACTAAAAGAGAAGCAATATTGTTACATAAACAGACATCTATAACTGCATAATCATTAATCAAAATAGAAGTTAATAACTGTCAAAGCAGCTACATAATCAAACACCACAAATTAAAATGCAGTCACAGCTGCCAATTCATTGTCTTAAATATAAGAGAACTAAATAGGGATAAAGTGCATTGCATTGTCTATCAACCAACAAAACATAATGTCTACATTGCATTGCCAACAAAAATGTACCAAAACAAGTTAGATTGCATTAGAGCTCTCTTGGCTCAAATGTGCAGCCTTAGACCTATGGTGTGTTTGGTATGGAGAAAAATGTTTTCCATGGAACATATTTTCCTGGAAAACAAGTAGATTTTTGACTTATTTTCTCATGTTTGGTTAGTGAATAGAAAATATTTTTCGAAAAAGATTTTTTAGTATTTGATTTATGAATGAATTTTTTTTTTGAAAAAATATCTTTTATTTTTACTAGAGAGTAGAAAATAATTTTTGAAATTGAAAATATTTTTAAAAACAAACTTAAATATCTTTTGCGGGGTGGAGGTGGGGTGGGGGGGTCGACGGTAGGGATGAAAAATAAAATTTTGAAGTTGAAAATATTTTTT